TTCTCTGGCGAGGCAGATCAGTCGCCGGCTTCTGGACGGCCCCAGCAGTTTATTTTTAATAGGCAAAAATTGGAAATAACCCAAATGTCCTTCTATGGGTGAATAAACAAATTAGTGCATCCACAGCATAGCAATACTACCATTCAGCAATAAAAGGGAATGACGTATTGATAACATGCAACAATTTGGGTGGATCTCAAGGAAATTCTGCTGAGTGTAGAAAAGCCAGTTTCAAAAGGTGTGATTCCATTTACCTGATTTTAAAACAAAATTTTTTTTTTATTACGGAACAGTGTTGTTTTTTCCAGGACCCATCAGCTCCAAGCCAAGTAGTTGTTTCAGTCTAGTTGTGGAGGGCACAGCTTTGTGGCCTATGTGGGGATCAAACTGGCAACCTTGATGTTATGAGCACTGTGCTCTAACTACCTGAGCTAACCGGCTGCCCTTACATGACTATTCTTGAAATAACAAAATTATAGAGATGGAGAACATGTTAGTGGTTGCCAGGAGTTGGGTTAGAGTAGAGGAAGGAGATGACAGTGACTATATTGGGTAGCAGGAAGAATATCTGTGGTAGAAGAACAGTTGATTGTGGTGGTTACCCGAATCTACACATGTGATAAAATTGTATAGTACTACACACAGACACAGAACATTGCATGTAAAACTGGTGAGATCTGAATAAGCTCTGTGGATTGTACCAATGCCAATATCTTGGTTCTATAAGATATTACCATTGGGGGAAACTGGGTGAAGAGTACATGGGACTGCTCTGTAATATTTTTTACAGACCCTGTTAATCTATAATTATTTCAAAGTAAGTGAAGTATAATACATGATGTAAGTCTGAAGGACTATGAATATTTTAGAACTCATACATTTGCATATTATAAAATAGAATTACATCTTTAATATACAAAACAGACAAACTATAAAAGACCCCACATTTTTGTTTAGCCTAGAAATGTAAATGAAAATGAAAATATGAATTCATGGTAATTGCACAGGGTACACAGCCAAACTCAGACAGGTAAATCAAAAAGGGTTTGTTGCTTAAACATCTGTTATGAGTCAGGATTCCATCAGAGATGCAGACCAATAGGACATTATATTTGTGTTTATAAAATTTGTTCATTCATTTATTAGAAGATATTGGCTTACACAATTGTGGGGCTGGCTAAGCAAACCCAAAATCTGCAGGGCACACAGTCAGAAAAGAATGATCAGGCCCACCCAGATTATCCAGAATAATCTCCCTTACTTTAAATACTCCCGAAGTCTATGTAATTTTGCTAACAATTGTCACCCCAATAAACTTTAATTTTAAAAAATTAACTGATCAGGAGCTTTAACTATATCAAAATATCTTCACACCAACACCGAGATTAATGTTTGATTGAATAACTCGAAACTGCAACCTAACCAAGTGGACACATCAAAGAGCCACGCAACATCATAAAGCATTTGTGCATGCAACTGAATAAGTGTATTCTGTGAATAGACACCTTGGCTTTATAGGTAATACATGCGCTAACCATTTAAATCAAGTGCCAGACGAGGAGTTTTCTACATGAGGGTCCACTTATAGAACTTTGGAGTTCAAAGGGGCCGTGAAAAGCTTAGTTTGTATTTGAATGTAGCCGAAGCACCTCCTGGGGTCCTTCCTGGCACCCGCGGCGGCTGCAGCCCACCCAATAGGAGCAGAGAGAAAACCACCTGGAGCACCGCGCGGCGAGTGCGGGAGCACGAGGTGGGCGGAGTCTCGAGGCGCTCTGGCGGTAGTAACTGCTCGTAGCCCGCCAGAAGGGCGCTCGGCGTTCGGCGGGGAACCAGTCGGGTAGGGCGAGCTCGGCCAGCGGTGGTGATGGGGGGGGGGGAGTGCGGGAGGGGGAGGAAGGAAGGGGAAGAGGCGGAGCGTGGGAGCCCACAGTGTCAGGAATACAATAGTGCTCTGCGCCGCTTTAGCCGCCGCTGTGCCGCCGCCGCCCAACCGCTTGCCCGGCGTTGAGGCCTGACGGGCCCGGAGGGCGAGGGCCGAGGGCGGGAGCTGAGGCGCAGGGGGCGGCCCCAGCGGATCGGGCGGCTGGGCGGGGGGGCGAGGGTGGGGAGGAGATTGGAGGGCAGGTGCGAGGGAGGGCAGAGAAGAAAGCCAGCAGTTCGGGGGGCGGTCACCACTCCAACCGGACTCGCCCGGCACGGTGCAGTGCAGAGCGTGGAGCTAGGAGGGAGCTGCGACTGGCTGCACGAAGGTAGACGCCACTGAGGCCGCGAGTGGGCTGAGGGGCGGCGCGCCGGGTGGGCACGGGAGGGGCTGCCTCAGGGAGCTGAAGCGGGCGGCGAGCGGCGCAGCGTCCCGGCCCGACCTCGCGGTGCTCCAGGTCGCTCCGGCGTCCCAGGCGGCTGGGGGCCGAGAGCGTGTGTGCGCGGAGGTAAAGTGGCCGGCAGTGGTCGGCGCGGGGGGCGGGGGCGGGCTCCCGAGCTTGGCTGCAACCACACTCAGGCAGGCGTGGAGCGCCATAACTGTTGCGGCGGATCCCTCCGGTGCCCCCTCCTGACGCCCCCTCGCTCCCTGTCCTCTGCCTGGTCTCCGGGCTCACGGGGTCAGACCCGCGGCTGGGGGACCTGCTCTGCGGGACGCCTGGAGCCGGATGCTCTGGGGAGCGAGGGCGCGCCCTGGCTGTTTCGATGTTGGGGGGCGGGAAGGAGCGTGTGCCCGGAGAGGGGGGCCGGGCGGTGAGGAGAGCGGCGAGGTCCTGGGTGAGCCTGGGCGCCCCCGCGGGCTGGCGAACTTTCCCTCCCCCTCGCGTCATTGTTCTGGCGCTGCTGATCCGGGTCCGCCACGACCACCGAGTGCCGGGCGGTCCGGGGGGTTGGACAAGCGAGAAGGCTTTGCGAGTCTTCTGGAGAAAATTTCCCACCGCTGGGCTCGGCAAAGTTAACTTTTCTCCAGCGATCAAGTTGGTTTTATTCTCTCCGCCGCGGGGCAATCGATTAAAAAAAAATAGACCGACTCCCACCAATCTTTTTCTCTCGCTTTTCAGATCCACTGCTTCGGAGAAGTCTTGTCTTTAAATTGCACAGGGCAACCTGCGTTTATTATTTGGGAGAAGGGAAGGGGGGCGGGATCTCGAGTGAGTGACCATCATGGTGGTAATGTGAAGGCATTTTGAAAAGTTGGTATCATTGTGTAGTCCTGGGACATATATAGCTCCTAGGCATTTGGCAAGAAACTTTTGGGCGCTTCTCTGACTTTCGGAGTTGCAAGGAAATCCATGGCCTCAGATGTGCGCAAGGTTTTTTTTCATGTGAGATCCGTTTATCTGTGAAGCTGTGGAGTAGATCCCAGCACCACCACACCACCCCCCACCTTCCGCCGTCTGATTGCACGAGAAATCAAAACCGTGTTGATGGTGATTCCAGTGGCCTGGAGGGAAAGACGAACTCGTTCCCCGTATTCAGTATGATAAAGATAACTGTCTGCTTCTCTCTAAACTCTAAAATAATTTAAGTAAAGACTAGTTGCACAACATTTTGGCTAACTTTAAGCAACCCAGAATCCACTTTCCCAGAGTAGTTCTCCTCTTAAATACCTTCCCTGCAGCCACTTGTTGTCAGCCTGGGGGTGGGGGTAAAGGGGTAAGAAAGGAGTGGGCCCGAACAAAGCATTGTTTTTATTTAATTTAATACTTTCATAACATCTGTAAACAATGGGAATGTGGATCCCAGCCTCTTTGAATAGTGTAGTTCTCATAAAGCATCATATGATTACTCTCTGGATAAGTGGGAATATATTTTTTTGTTGTTGTTGTTTAGCCCAGGAATATTCTGTCTCCATAACGTATCTTTTTTTTTTTCATTTAAAGTGAGCTCTGAGCTTAAATATTTGAACTGTAAAAGGATAATACCTCACTTCAAGGGGTGAAGGGATTACATGAGGTTTTGGGGAAGTGCTTTTCAGTTAGTGTGAGCTACCATCATTGCCACCTTTTCTTCAACGGTGCTTTTCTACAGTTAATCCGGTCTTGTTGCCATGCAACAGTGCCTTTGTCCAGACCACTCTGGAATACTGAGGGGTTCTAGAACCCACACTTGGTATATATAGCTCCCCGTTTCCTCAACTGTTTGCTGTGTCTTGGTCTTCTCAGTACGATCCTGTGAATCTCCCTCACAGGTAAGGGGAAGTATAGAAGGGTGTTCCACTCCTTCCTGAAGTGTTTGTAATCAGCTGGGAGCCAGGAGTGACTTGGAAGCAGCCTTTAGGGGCACCTGTGACCCACCATCTGGCCTGTAGAGAAGGTAGGAGCAGGAGAGGTGATGGTACAGGGCTCTCTCATCAGAGTTGAGATGTATGGGTTAGCGCAAGTTAAAGAACAAAGGATGTTGAAGGCTTTTAGGTTGAGTATGATCCTCTTCTTGAATAATGCTTGTCTTTGCCCTCCCTTGTGTTCTAACTCCATAGCAACCCATTTCTCCCCTAAGATACACAAAGCCATTTCTTCTTTTTGCCCACTATTTCGAGGTCTGGCTGGAACTAGGCAAGTCTCTGGGGGGAAGTTGGGAGGCAGGAGGCATCGGGTGTTTGTGAAGACATTACAGAGGGCACTTATAAGCCTTAAGAAGGGACACAGAGGTTGAAGATAGTCATAGAACATAATGTACTCATGGAGACGACACAAAAGAAGGAAGGTAGAGATCATATGCTGGCTCACATTAAGAAACTCTCTCATCAGGGGATAACTTACTATAACCTTTACTTACCTCACTTTATAGGTGACGGGTGGGTGTTGGGGGGCACCCATCTGGCACTCTCCTGAAATGGCTAATATGGGGACACTTGAATGGTTTACAAGTTTCTACCTGTTCCAGTTACAGTGGCTGGGAAAGTGAAGCATTCTGGTTTGTGGGGTGGGGAGGACCTAGAATGAGTGGGTAGAAATGGTGAACAAATAAAAGGGTGCTAGCAAGTGATCATTACAGACCAAGTAACTACTGCTTTGAGTTTTCTGTTTTCTGAAATCTTCTGTATTCTGGAATGGGTTGTTTTTGCCTCCTCTCTGTATGTCTCTCCATAGACAATAGCAAAACTCTTATCAGAACTGCCTCTGTGCTTTTCTTGAGGGACAGCGAGAAAGAAGGGTCCTGGGGAGAATTTGCCTGACTCTATAGCTAAGTTTGGGAAAAGTAAAGTAAGAACTTGGAGGGCAGTCAACTGAAGAAAGTAGGGGGCCTTGTGTGGGGAAATAGTACCGGTGCTTTGACCAATAGGAAATACCAATGCATTCATTAATATTCTTCAAGTAGTAAATAATTTAATCTCTTACCACAACCGAGAAGTTATGGCTGAGCCCTGCTGCCCAAGGAGTTCCTTGTCCCTTGATATTGCCCGATAGGCAAGGAAATGCAAGCCTGGAGAATATAGTACCAGCATGACACTAGACCTTGTGTGTTGTAATCTCCTGGGGGAAATTGTTATTATTATTTTGAAATTTAAAAAACTTATTTTGATATAATATAATTACAAAAAAGTTGCAAGAATAGTACAAAGAGGTCCAGTATTCCCCTTTCCCAAGGTTGCCAGTTATTAACAGTTTGCTCCCATTTGCTTTATCATTTGTTCTTTCTGTTTCTTTTTCTGAACAATTTGAGAGGAACCATTGAGAGGCTGGTACTTGTCAAGGGCATCCTGTCATGAAGACTGGGTCAGATGCAGCCGTGGGGTATAGCAGAACATTGTTGGTGATGCAGGGCCCCAGAGATAGGGTGAAGTCTACCTACAGCCATAAAACACACATTTGTAAATCACATGGACTCTCTGGTGCTGGATATAGGAATCATTATCAATTGTAAAATGGCCTAGATAAACGCCTCTTTTTGTCATCATTCATGTCAAGTTTGTTCCTAATGATGCCAAACTTTAATATTGTTATGAAAATCTTCTCTACCCCCCAACATTATGCCATAATATATTCTCCAACATTTTAATCAATTCATTCAGCAATCATGTATTGAGTGCCTCTAAATTGCTAGGGGATATAAGAGGTGAAAGATATTCATCCCATTACAATCGCAACATCCAGAGGAAAGGAAGTGAAGAAAATGACAGTCACAGCCAGGGGAAGAGTATTCTGCTGAAGGTGTTTACAGGGGGTGATTGGAACACCAGGCTGGTTAAGGATCTGAAGAGTAGATACCTGGGAATTATTTGGGATATATATGAATGTGAAGATCTGTCTTCTCTGAGGCTTGCCACTCTTAGATGACAAGGTTCATGAATTAGGGATGCCTTTTGTGTCATGCACCTAGCATAGGCTATGGGGTCAGGCCAGCTTGGATTCTAATCTACCACTTGATCTTGGCCAGTTACTTAACTTCTCTGCCTCAGTTTCCTCATCTGCCAAACCATATCTCTGAGGTGGTAATTAATTGAGGTAACAATTGCTCTGTAAACATTCATTTTATCTTCCCCAGCAAAAATGTAGTATGTGGGGAAATACCATGAAAGGTATTAGATAAGTAGGGTGGGATTCAATAGGGTGTTTCTATCTTTTTCTACACATAATTACTAATTGTACTAAGAGTCATGATGGAGATTACTGTGCGGAAGAAGAACAATACCTTCCAATACCAGCAACGATGGTTTATTAACTATTTCCTGTGTGCTGAGCACTGAGCTAAGTGCTTAATGTAGGATAGCTCTCTGAGGTGTGAGTCTCAAAGAAGTGAAACAAAGGTAACTTGCCTAAGGTCACAGCGGAGTAAGAATAGAATGCTTCTGAGGGAGACCAGCAAGGAGCCCTGGGGCCTGAAGGATGAGCAGGAATAAAAGCAAGGTACAAGTCAGAGAGAATGGATTGCCAGGTAGAAGTAACAGCAGGTGTGAGGGCACTGAGGTGGGTGAGAGATGTAAGGATCTGTAGAGGTTTGGCTAGGACCTGGGGAAAGAGAGATGAAATAGGCAGAGGAAGATTGACAGGGCCTTATGGGACCTCATTAAGGAGCTTGTGTTTTATTCCAAGGGCAGTCGGAGGCTTCTGGGAGGTGTTTTTCACTTTTTCTTACATTGTGCGTGCGTGTGTGTGCGTGTGTGTTTTCCAGAAAAGCATGTAGGCCTAAGCAAAAGTGGTTTAAGAAAATCATTTCCCTGTCAATGTCCCACTTTGTGATACAATAGAGGCAATGTTTCTAACCCAAACAGTTTTTACTGCCCACCATTAACGTGGCCAGAAAGAGTTGCTATGATGCTGCAAGA